GCTCACTGCAGCCTCAAACTCCAGGGCTTGAGTGATCCTCCTACCTCAGCCTCCCAAGTAGCGGGGACTACTGGCACGTGCCACCGTGCCCAACTAATTTAAGACACATTTTTTGTAGAGACAGACTCTCACTGTGTTGCTCAGGCTGGTCTTGAACTCAGCTCAAGCAATCCTCTGCTTCAGCCTCCAAAGTGCTGGGATTACAGGCGTCACTGGCCCAGCCGGAGCCAATTCCCTATAATAAATCTGTCTCTCTCTGTCTCTCGTGTATGTGCACATTCTGTTTCACTGGAGAATGCTGACTAATACAGAATCACATCCTACTTTACTTCCCAAGAAGTTCTCAAATCTTCATTTCTTTGCTTATGCTGCAGTAACAAACAAAACCCCGAACCTCAGAGGCTTAATGCAGCAAGGTTTATCTCTATATCACATCCCAGTGCGCTGCAGAAAAAGCAGCTCCGGGGCAGCTGACTCCATGCAGTGACTCAGAGATCCAGCTTGCTTCCATCTCTTGATTCTTCCATCCCAAGTGTGATTTCTACCCACAGAGAATGGAAAACTCACACCCACCCCTAACTACTCAGACTGGGAGTGGCACTGCTCAATTCCACCCACAGATCCAGCCAGGTGGCCCTTATCTAACTGCAAGGAAGGCAGAAAAATTTAATGATAATCATAAACATTTCTTGAGTGCTTCCTCTGTGCCAGGCTGTGTGCTAAGCATGTAAATATTGTCTTTTCTGTATTCCAAGCTTAAGTCTCTTAAAGCTCTACTGTGACCTCACCATACAGCCACAGAAACAGGCTCAGAGAGGTTGAGGAAGTTGTCTGGGGCACACACCTCATAAAGGCAGGGCTGCAGATTTGAATCCAGGTCTCTGTGCATTGGAAACCCACCCCTCGACCTCTGTCCTGGTTTCTTGCTGATCTCCGCTGAGAATACCGTCATTCCGTCTGAGGACTGGGATTGGCTTCTTATTTTATGCTCCATCTCATTTTGTCTTCCCCAGGAGTCATGAATTTTAAATCTTGTGTGAGATCAACAAGTTCACCCAGAGGAGACAGTAAAGAACAGAACAGGGAGGAACAGAACAGCCATCAAATACGAAGGGTAAAGTCTTCCAGGAAATACCCACCAAGTGGGGAAATGAACCACAAGTGAGGCCAGGATCGTGGGAGGCGGGGAGGGAGAGCAATCTCATCGTCAGGGGAATCATTTTCTTTTAGGAAAGAGAGAGGGAGATGGGACTTAGCCATTAGATGCAGGCTATTGCAGTTCCTGGTAATGACACAGCTCAGTGAAAGCATTTTCGGGAGGTGGGCTCCAAGCCTGGGCAGCTCTCCTGCCTTAATCACTGTAAGTCACAGAGCAGAGAAGCTGGAAATGGGCAAAATCGATGACAGTGAGGCTTGCCTGTGGGCCGCTCCGTGGACCCAATCTGTGACCCGTGGTCATCACATGACCCACCATCCCTTGGTGCCACTGTGCAGGTGCCATGCTGAAGACCCTTCTTTCAGTTCATTCTCACAACAGCCCAGTGCGTGGTGGCTCACGCCTGTAATCCCAGCATTTTGGGAGGCCGAGGCGAGAAGAATTGCTTGAACCTGGGAGGCGGAGGTTGCAGTGAGCCGAGATCGCACCACTGCACTCCAGCCCGGGTGACAGAGCTAGACTCTGTCTCAAAACAAAAACAAAAACAAAAAAAGCAAGGACAGTGAGGTGCAGGGAGATGGAGCCTATGTCCCCTGGCTGGTCTGTGAAGGAGCTGGGATCTGAACACCAGTCAGTAGAGCCCCAAAGCCTTAACCTACACTAGACCACTCAGACGTAGTGGCTTTTGGACCCATTTCCCCAACTCAGTTACCAAAGCACCCTTGAAGCAGCTGAGCCCATGAAGCGGGGCAGCCCCCACCCCCAGGACTCGATAAAAAGGTGGTCGCACAAATCCAGGCCTCCCCACTCTTCCCCGTTGCAGGGAAGATGGGGGCCCATGGGCTTGGCGTCCTCCCTGTCAGCTCTTCTCTGCCATGATCCCCTTTGTCCTGCGCCCCAGCTTCAACTGCTCCCCCGAAAGGGTCACTTGGAGCAGCTGAGCTTAGGGCACCTCACCTGCGTGAGCTTTCTTGGGGGCTCAGAAGCACCTGGGTTGGGAACGGTGCTCTGGTGGGCAGGATGAGGGCTTCAGTGAGCTCTGCTGTCCTTGTGGACACCTTGGAGTCTGGCTTGGGAGAAGCTCCCAGTGCAGGTCCAGCCAGCCCAGAGGCCAGGCTGAATGTGGGCTGCCATGAGGCAGACTCCCCTCCATGCCCCCCGTAATAAGGCAGAGGGGAAGGACCTTGGAAGGGGGGTAGGCTGGGGTCCTGCTATTTCTCAGACAGATGGTGGGGGAGGGGTGCATGGGGAGGGGACCTGGAGCCAGCCATCACTTCAGTATATGAAGACAGAGCTCCCAGTCCTCCAGGCCGAACAAACAACGCATCTCAGACTAGAGACAAGCGAGCCAAACCTCCGTTGTGGCTCCACCCCCTCTTTTTGCTCGCAGCAGGATCAGAGGGAGGCAGTTAATTAAGAAAGGTCACATAGCGTTATCTGTGCCAGAGCCAGATCTCAAACCCAAGTCTAGAAGAGGCTCAGAAAGGGCAGGGATGTGACCTCAGTTCACCTGAAGCCAAGAAACATTACTCTAGGCTTGTGCCAGCCTCCAGCTTGGGAATTTCAAAAGTAGGAGTATAATTCCCCTCTCCCTGCCGCCCCTAGCCTCCTGGGCTGGGGGTGCTCAGCGCTCTTAGCTGCATTCCAGGGATCTGTTTCCCATTTCTCAATCATCTTAGCTGATTTGAACAATTTTAGACCTTTCGTCTATGAATTTTCCACCCAGCAGTGCCCAGCACAAACTGAGGACCACGAGAGGGATGAATTTTTTTTTTTTTGAGATGGAGTCTTACTCTGTCATCCAGGCTGGAGTACAATGGTGCGATCTCAGCTCATCGCAACCTCCACCTCCTGGGTTCAAGTGACTCTTCTGCCTCAGCCTCCCAAGTAGCTGGGATCACAGGCATGCGCCACTACGCCCGGCTAGTTTTGTATTTTTAGTAGAGACGGGGTCTCCCCCATGTTGGTCAGGCGGGTCTCAAACTCCTGACCTCAGGTGCTCTGCCCACCTCGGCCTCTCAAAGTGCTGGGATTACAGGTGTGAGCCACCTCACCCAGCCTGGATTAACTTTTTAAAAGGATTTTTAGGCCCAGCACGGTGGCTCACACCTGTAATCCCAGCACTTTGGGAGGCTGAGGCAGGAGGATCCCTCAAAGCCAGGAATTTGAGACCAGACTGGGCAACAAGCAAGACCCTGTCTCTATAAATAATTTTTTTAAATCTTTACTTTTTAATTTTTTTTCTTTATAGAGGCAATCAAATTTAAGAAGAAATTTAAAAAGACAGTCATCAGAGGTCAGATTTTGAAAATAGGTCAGAGAACCTCTAGCTCAGCCTTTGAGGCAATATCAAAGTGGTCAGCAGCATGACCTGTGAAGCCAGGATGCCTGGGTTCAAATAATGGCTTCTCCCCTTACTAGCTGTGTGAACTTGGACAAGTTATGCAGACTCTCGTGTCTGAGTTTGTTCATACATAAAATGGAGGAGCTGATACCACCCACCATGTACGAATGTGATGAAGTTTAATTGTGCTAATCATGAGAAGTGCTTAGGAACAGTGCCTGGTACCTAACACACCAGTGAAAGTTTTCTATTACTGTCATCCTGTCAAGCTTCTGCTTGAATGCCTCCTGGGATGGGGAACTCACTCTCCCCAGGGCAGCGTTTTCCCCTATTGGATTGTTTAGTGTGTTAGGAGGCTTTTCTATCCATTACGCCGAAGTATGCCAACCTGTCTCTTCTCTACAAGAGCCCTGGCTTCCCTCTGAGGGCAGCCATAAAGACCCATGTCAACCAAAGCCAAACAACGCACACTTAGTGGTATGTGTCTCATTCACTTGAGTTAATCCTCCTTTGGGGAACTGCAGCCCACACAGCCCAGCACACACAGTGCAGACGTCTGTCTCTGTTCAGGGCTCAGAGGTCAGTAGTGGTGTGCTCTGACCTCGGAAGCTTGTTAGGGCCTACCCCATCGATCCCAGCCAAGGAGCTCTATGGGCTGAGGCTCAGTATGTCCCCTCACTGGGTCCTCTCTGCTAACCCAGTGTATCTGTGGCGTCTGCCTTCTTATAGGAGGGAAGCAGTGGAATCTTTGCTTTTTTCTGTTTTTGTTTTTTACTGTTTTTTTTTTTTTCGAGACGGAATTTCGCTCTGTCGCCCAGGCTGGAGTGCAGTGGCATAATCTCGGCTCACTGCAACCTCCGCCTCCCAGGTTCAAGCAGTTCTTCCTGCCTCAGCCTTCCGAGTCGCTGGGATTACAGGCACCCGCCACCATACCCAGCTACTTTTTGTATTCTTAGTAGAGACGGGGTTTTGCCATGTTGGCCAGGCTGGTCTCGAACTCCTGACCTTAGGTGATCCGCCTGCCTCAGCCTGTAATCCCAAAGTGCTGGATTACAGGTGTGAGCCACCACACCTGGCCAGAAACAGGGGAATCTTACTGCCTAGGACTGGGAAGGGCTAGAAAGGAGGAGGCAGTTGCCCATCTGGTCAGGGCAGTCCATCCCTTTGGAAAATCATCGAGCTTCACCAAGGGCTAAGAGCCCAGTGCTACCGTCCCAGCGCTTTCTGGAGAATTTGCTGGTTTGCTCCAAAGGGCGGAGCATAGATTCCAGGGTCAGAGCTGAGTTTGGATCCTAGCTCCACTCCTCCCTGTCTGTGAGCCCTCAAGCAGCTTCCTCATATGTAAAATGGGCACAATTACAGTAGTTCCCATCATAGGGCTGGGAGGGAAAAGCAATGAGGTGATTTGTAGCTCAGTTCTGGCACAAGAACGTGCTTGATGAATGGGGATGGATACAGGAAAGGAGTGGGATAAGGCGGGCCTGGATTTTCCAATATTGAAGGACTTTTAGTCTGTTGCTGTATTTTGCAGATAGAAGGACGGAGGTCCACAGATGACAGGTCCAAAAGTCACACTGCGGTTGGGTCATCTGGCACCTGGGCTCCTGCTCCTTGTGGACTCCAGCGCTTGCCCTCCAGGGACACTCCTTGCCCAGACCGGCCCCTTCTGTCCTGGAGGGAGGGGAGAGTGAGGCTTGGTGGGGGCCTGTGGCCAGGGCGACGGAGCTACCCTGTCCCCGACTCCTAGGACCGCCCCCCCCAGCTCTTATTAGGGGATGCCCTGCGGCATCTCCTGCAGTTACGAGTTATGGCCGCTGGGTGTCGCTACACAGCAAAAAAACCCTCAGGCCGCCGGAGAACAGGACCTAATGGGAGCTCTGATGGGACAGCGCCTCCAGACCCTGATCCCCGACCTCTGAATTCCTGCCCAGGTCTTTGGTCCGCTACAGACTACCTGCCAGGTGCTGGATCCACGCTCTCGCTAGATCTGCCAGCAGCGCTGTGAGGTGGGTGCAGTCACATCCCTTGTGAAGAAGGGGATATGGGGGCGTGAAGAGGATAAGTACTTCATCAGAGGTGACAGGTGAGATTTGAACCACACTCTTACCTGGTGCAGCTTCTTGGCCCCACAGTAATGGTACCCAGTTCACAGAGTGGTTTGGGGGATTATACGATGCACTGTGTGTTAAAGGGCTTGGCACAGATCTAGCTGCAGCGGAACGTAATAAGCATTGATTGACCCAGAGGCAAAAGAGCGGGATACAGATCCACCCACGTTTGAATCTGAACACGGCTATTTTCTTAATGCGAGATCTCTGGAGTCAAGTCGCTTTGCTTGTCTAAGCCTCTTGTTCCCCTGGCGAAAATGGGGATAATCATAGCTACCTGAAGAGCTGCTCAGTGGATGGAGGTAGAGGATGTAGTGTCTGCCGAGAAGTGGGTACTTAATGGGACTGAGTGTTCGGGATTATCTTTTATTTTATGTCATGTAGGCGGCAACTCTTCCCGGGCCTGTGGAGGAGGCCGGAGGTCAGGGCTGGAGCCCTGGGGTGGGGCCTTGCACAGGCAGCTCCTGGCCCTCCCCTCCTGGCCAGGTCAGCCCCTCAGTGGGCCCTGGCCCTAGAAGGGCTCAGAAGCCTGGGGACGCTGTTGCTAGGCGCCAGTTGCTAGGTTACATACACACTGTTTCTCCTACATGGCCACCTCCAGGACTGGCTTCTCTGGAGCAGCTCTGACTCCTGAAGCCTCTCCCTGACCTCAGAGCCTCTGCAGAGGAAAGGTGAGGGTGGGGTCGCTGTGGTTGGGCCTCAGGGAGAGCCCAGCCAACTCCCAGGGGAGGCAGGCAAGGTTAGAAGCAGGCAAGGCTAGGGGAGCTGAGGGAGAGAGAGGAGCCGAGGGGCTGGGAGTGAGGGTCCCAGCCTGACTTCTTGGGTGGGGTGCCAAGAATTCCCCAGGCAGGAGGTTGTCGGCTCATTCATTCTGAGAGGTAGGTATGTAAGGTTCAGGTCGGGGGCGAGGGGTCAAATGCCCTAGGTCTCAATCCCGGCACTGCCACCTATTATGAGCAAATCCTTTATCATTTGGAACCTCATTGCCCTGGCTGTAAATGGGGACAGGAAGAGTTAACAATAAGGTGTGAAAGCTGGACTCAGTGGCTCACGCCTATAATCCCAGCACTTTGGGAGGCTGAGCCGGGTGGATCAGAAGGTCAGGGGTTTGAGACCAGCCTGGCCAGTGTGGTGAAACCCCGTCTCTACTAAAGATACAAAAATTAGCTGGGCGCGGTGGTACGCACCTGTAATCCCAGCTACTCGGGTGGCTGAGGCAGGAGAATTGCTTGAACCCTGGGGGCGGAGATGCAGTGAGCCGAGATTGCGCCACTGCACTCCAGCCTGGGTGACAGAGCAAGACTCTGTTGAAAAAAATAAAAATAAATAAAAATAAATAAGGTGTGGAAAGTGAAAGGAGACACAAGGACTCTTAGGATAAGTGTGGATGATCGGTTTCGTCCTCAGTTTAGGGATGTGGGAGCTGGACCGGAGGGACAGAGGCCTGGGAGAAGGGGCCAGCTGCGTTGGGGGTGGGGGACAGATCTTCACCCCTTTGGGCTTCTGAGCCAGGCTTGGGACCCACAAGGCTCCCTGTGCTTCCTTTCCAGGCCCCCCGGGGTCCTGCCCCACGGCATCATGATGGGGAAACTCCCCCTAGGGGTCGTCTCCCCTTATGTGAAGATGAGTTCGGGGGGCTCCACAGACCCCCTGAAATTCTATGCCACCAGCTACTGCACAGCCTATGGTGAGGGCACCTTTGTGCAGGAACCTCCCCTGGGCCAGGGCAGGAAGGGGGGGCTCTCTCTGAGGGAGGAGAACCCCCTCTGGCTGTCACACTGAAGGGCAACCCTGTCCGCTGAATCCGTCTGTCCCTGAGCCCTGTCCCTGAGCCCTGTCCAGCGGCTCCCTTCTCCGATTCTGTCCCTGCAGTTCTGTCACTGTGATTTTGCCACACTGACCTTGTCCCCAGCCCACCCACTCCATTTCCTGCCATCACAGTCCTGAAAGGCCAGGCTTTCGAGGCTCCAGCCTGTGGCTCTGAGCCCTCCCCTGTCACTGTGACCCCCGGGCCCCTCAGAGTATGCGGACCCTGCCTGGGAAGCCCTGCCTGTTTTTGACCCTGGGGCCTGTCTCTGGCAGGTCGGGAGGATTTCAAGCCCCGAGTAAGCAGTCACACAGGCACCGGCTACAAATCAAATTTCCAGCCCGTGGTTTCAAGCCAAGCCAGTCTGGAGGCCTTAGACAACCCTGCCATGGGGTACGGTCTATATGACCCCTTCCCAGCCCCTGCCCTGCTCATCAGACCAACTCCAGGCTTTGTGGATGGGGACCCGGAGCCTTGCCTGGAGTCCTGGGTGGCTCAAGGCACGGAAGACCCCTGAGCCATCTGTGGGAGGGTGCAGGGAGGAGGGAAGCTCTTGGGCAGAGGACCTCTAGCTCAGCCTCACTCTCAGGGAACAAGCCCGGGACCATTTCCAGTCCATGAGCAGCCAGAGTTACCGCCCCCTGGAGGTGCTGGATGGCAAGCAGCCCCTGCCCTGGAGCATGCACCAGACCAGCTCAGGCTACGGGCGGGAGCAGCCCTGTGCCGGCCCCCCGACCAAGGAGGTCAGTGCTGGGCCAGGGCCCGGAGAGTGGAGCCTTAGCGTGGGGTGGGACTGTGGCTGCATTGCCAATAGTTGGTCAAGGTGGAGGTGACAGGGCTTGGAGCAGCCGCGTTGTAGGGATGGGGTCCACTCCTCTTTCTCCCCTTTGTCCTCATCCTTATCCCCACCCTCCCCACAACCTCCATTGCCTGCCCCAGCTCCACCATGACCTCCACCTCCGTTTCCATCCCCATCCCTGCCCATTCCCATGAGCCCCACACTCCTGTGCACACCTGGCAGCCCCATCGCCTTCCCTGCCACCACCACTGCCCCCCACCATCAACATCATTACCCCCATCTTTTATCTTTTCCATTTCTTTTTTTTTTTTTTTTTTTGAGAGGGAGTCTCACACTGTCACCCAGGCTAGAGTGGAATGGTGCAATCTTGGCTCACTGCAACCTCCGCCTCCTGGGTTCAAGCGATTCTTCTGTCTCAGTCTCCCCTGCCATCATGCCCAGCTAAGTTTTGTATTTTTGTAGAGATGGAGTTTCATCTTGACCAGGCTGGTCTTGAACCACTAACCTCAGGTGATTTGCCCGCCTTCGCCTCCCAAAATGCAGGGTTTACAGGCATGAGCCACTGCGCCCGGGCCATCTTTTTCATTTCTTTATTTTATTTTATTATTTACTTATTTATTTATTTTTGAGATGGGGTTTCGCCATGTTAGCCAAGCTGGTCTCGAACTCCTGACCTCAGGTGATCCTTCCACCTTGGCCTCCCAAAGTGCAGGGATTACAAGCGTGAGCTACAGGGCCTGGGCCATCTTTTTTATTTCCATCCTCATTGTTTCCACCGTCCCTATCATCAGCACCACCACCAGAATGGACAGTCATTCATTCATCCAACCTGTATGTTCTGAATATCTCCTTCATATTTGGAGATAATGAGTCAGTGGAGTGTTGGGGTGAGAAATACAACAAGGGAGAAGTAGGGAGGAAGGAAGTGAAGGAGTTGCAGGCTGGGTGCAGTGGCTCCCGCCTGTAATCCCAGCACTTTGAGAAGCCAAAGTGGGTGGATCACTTGAGGTCAGGAGTTCAAGACCAGTCTGGCCAACATGGCGAAACCTCTGCTAAAAATACAAAAATTAGCCGGGCGTGGTGTCCGGTGCCTGTCATCTCAGCTACTCGGGATGCTAAGGCAGGAGAATCCCTTGAACCTGGGAGGCGGAGGTTGCAGTGAGGCTGATTGCCTGGGCAACAGAGTAAGACTTCATCTCAAAAAAAAAAAAAAAAAAAAAGGGCTGGATGTGGTGGCTCACACCCGTAGTTCCAGCACTTTGAGAGGCCAAGGTGGGCCTATCACCTGAGGCCAGGAGTTTGAGACCAGCCTGGTCAACATGGTGAAAGCCCATCTCTGCCAAAAAAATACAAAAAATTTAACCGGGCTTGGTGGCTTGCGTCTGCAGTCCCAGCTACTTGGGAGACTGAGGCATAAGAATTGACTGAACCCGGGAGGTGGAGGCTTGCAGTAAGTTGAGATCATGCCACTGCACTCCAGCCTGGGCAACAGAGCGAGACTCTGCCTCAAAAAAAAAAAAAAAGTAATAAATAAATAAATAAGTGAAGGAGTTGCCTGTGCACTGGAGGGTGGGAAGAGCTTGCTATGGGGGCCTGGACAAAGGCTTGAGGGAGGCCAGCGCCTCCAGACACAGCTGTGTGAGGGACGAGTGGTCCAGGCAGTGCCAACCGCAGGTGCAAAGGCACTGAGGTGGGGCAGAAGGGAGACAAGCGGCTGGAGCTGGGTGAGGCCCTCAGGTCCTTGTGAGCCACCAGCAGGATGTGGAATTCCCTGTGAGCATGGTGGGAAGGCTGCAGAGCTCTGAGCAGAGAAGGGACGTGCAGGTTTCATGTAAAGGGATCCCCTCTGGCGGCTATGCAGATACTGTGCTCTGTAGAGGTCAAGAGCACAATCAGTCAGGTAGTGACTGCGGCCCCCTTGATTGTCATTGGCCCTTCTTCCTCCCAGGTCCGGAAGGTCCATTTCGACACCCAGGAGCATGGGCCTCAGGCCATCACAGGGCTGGAACCCAGGGAAGTGCCCCTCCTCCACCAGCAGCAGGGCCAGGACTCCCTGGCTCGGGAGAACTTCCGATATGTGAGTGGCAGTTCGCTAAGGGCTTGGGGTGGGGCAGAGGAGCCACACCCACCGCCTCCTCCCACCTCGAGACAGGTGTTGCTCTGACTCACCCAAGAAGCCAACTCAGTGTGGACGCAGGGCGCCCAGAAAGACAGGAGAGCAAAGGATTTGACATTGGCTCTTTCCAAAACACCATCAATGTGGCTTCTCTCGATTTAACGCAGATGCTCTTCCCTTGCCTTCTTCCTCTCGCTCTCGGCCCCTCCTGGTCTGGGTCCCTCTGGACCCCCCCACTCATCACCAGGAGTCTGGAGTGGTGTGTGACGTGGTAGTCACAGTCCCAGGGGCACTGTGCTCCTGTGCTGGAATTCCTGGCCTCGCCATGCTCCACCCCAGAGAGACCCCTGTGTCCAGGGTGCGTACTGGCCCACGTAGGCCTCTTCAGAGCACAGATAACCAACCCAGGCGCCCCCCTACAGCCGCACGCCTTCGGGGCCCTGGTGGGCCGGTGTCCCCATTCCTGCGACCTCTGTGTTCCAGGGCCCGCGCTTCATGACTTCGGAGTACAATTCCAAGTATCTGAGGGAGCCTCCAGACCAGCCAGGTAGGCCCCGTCGGAACTCACAGCTCCCTTCCAATCACCCTCCCTACTTCCTACCCCGAGGGGCCTGGAGCTGGCCTAGGACTAAGAAGGCACCAGTGGAAGAAAGAAGGACGCACAGGCGGCTGGAGGGATGCGCCTCTCTGGGGCTGACCTCAGCGCCTTGGGCCTCCCAGGAGGGCGGCTTGGCTGGCGTGTGCCCTTCCTGCTGCTTCCTCTCCTGTCCTCCGGCCTGGACACTGGAATCCTCACCCTGCTGCCCACGACCCCCATGACGCACGTCTCCAGGATCTTGGGGTCCGCTCCCTCCCACGTGCTGGGACGTTGAGCCTCTGGAGGACTCATGGGTGGGCCGGGTGGCCTGGCAGCACAGGGGGCATGTCTTTTGCAGATCTGTTGCAGAAGAAATCAATCGGTGCCAAGGAGGGGAGCGGCTTCACCAAAGAGTTGCACCAGAGCCCCGTAGTCTTCCAGCCCCCCTCACAGGCCCTCCCTGGGGACCCGGTAAGTCCGCTGGGGTCCAGCTAGAACTTTCCCGGGCTTGAATCCCTCCAGTCTCAGGGTTTCTAGCTTCCCTAAAGAATATGAGCTACAGAGCCCTTTGTTCAAAAACAAGGTCAGAGAGCTTAGGTGAAAACCGTTGCTTTGGTCCCATTCCCCCATTTTATGGATGAGAAGACTGAGGTCCAAAGAGATGAAGAGGTGTAGCCAAGGTCATCCAGAGTTCAGACAAGAGCCCTGGCCTGCTGGCCCCACTCAGGGTCATGCCTTCCCCCGTCTTCTCCCCAAACACTTCCATTTTCTCAATGATGCCCGTGAGAGCTGAGTCCTCCTCTGTGTTCAGCACAGCAGGGGCCTGGAGGCAGACTGGGTAGGAGCCGCCAGGGGCCTGGCCTGCCTCTGCGGGGCTGACACCCTCTGTGGGCCTCCTTCCAGGCCCTACTCCCAGGCCAGAGTGTCACCAAGTCAAGCTTCCTCCCCAAGACTCACCTGCATGTAAGCTGAGCTAGGGGGAGGCTGGGGACTGCCTGGCCGGGGGGCGGGGGCAGTTAGGTCATGGCTCTGGAGGGCAGTAGGGGAGGCAGCCACATCCCGGTGCCAGTGGCTGCTTTGCTCCCTCCAGGGAGATGAGTTTCTACCTGTTCTGGCCAGAGGCTCCGGCCGGGAAACAGCCTTCAGCCGAGGGAATGAAAGGGTTCTGAACCCTAGAGTGAGTGACCTTGGCGCCTCGCTTAGAGAAGGTGGGGGACAGGGAGGATTCTGGGACAAGGTGCCATTTTGGGTCAGGCATTGAAGAATGAGAAGAATTAGGATATTTGGGGATGTGGAGGTAGGGCCCTAGGTGGAAGGCGAAGAGTGTCTGGGCCTTCCTGGGGGCTGGAAGGCCAGGGGTGTGGTCTGAAATAGACTTGGCTGGAAGGGGAAGGGAGGGTCGCTGGGGCTGCGGACAGGTTGCAGCTGTGTGTGCCTCTGCCTGCCTTCCCTCCATCCCTGCTGCCTCAGCCTGGCCATCTCAGCGTCCCTTCTGCTGGTGGCTCTGTCCCCTGCAGGTGCCCCCTTCCCACCCAGAACCCAGCAACCTGAGTCATCAGCAGTTTCAGCCACCCCATCGGATGCAACAGACAAACGTTGCCCTGCTTGGCCGGGAGACTGTGGGGAAAAAGGTGAGACCTGCTACCTCCATCCTCCACCCCAAATCCTCACCCTTCCTGAGGTCACAAGTCCCCTCTCTACCCCTCTTGTGCAGGAGCCCACAGGGTTCAGCCTTAACAACCCAAGCTATGTCCGGAGCCCCCGTGATCCTGACAGGGATCATCGATTCCTGACCACCTACAACCAAGGGTGAGGTCTGCTTCCTGGTCCAAAGCTGAGACCCATTTGACAGACAGAAAGACAGACTGGGATAAGTAATGAGCTCACAGCCTCCTGGATAAGATCAACACGAATGAATGTGGGTTCCCCAGAAGCAGACCCTAAGCCAAGGATTGGAGTGCAAGCATGTTATTGGGCGGTTGTTAGGCGTGCGGGGGTGGGGAAGTTGGATGGGGTGGGAAGGCAGCAATAATGAGCATGTGACTAAGCCAGCGATCCCACAGGGAAAACTCTAGAAAACAGCGTAAAGCACATAACTCAGTTACCCCAGCCAAAGATGAGAGAGCTCGGGTATTTATACCCCCATATCCATCAGTCATTGGTTAAAGGCTATCCCGAGGGCAGCATTAAACCCCAGGTACCTCCTTGTTCAGGCAAAGCAGGTTCTAGCAACCCAAGGATAGCTTTCCCACAGAGATGCAGTACAGGGCACTGGTGGCCAGGCTGGTGGGCATGGAAAGGAAGGGGGAGTGCAAGGGGTCTGGAGCAGCAGCGTCTGCTAAGACACTTCATCCAGCCCACAGTCGGTGGGCTCCATGGGTCCTCAAAAGGTAAACTCTGTGTTGTGCATTCCCTGGATGAGGAGTGACCTTCCTGGGCATCAGGGAGGGCTTCCAGGAGGAGGTGGCCTCAGAGCCATGGGGAAGCCTCCCAGGGCCAGGACTCGGTGGAGAGAGCATTATAGGACTGTTATAAAGGAAGTGTGTGATTCTTTTTTTTTTTTTTTTTTTTTGAGTGCAATGGTGTGATCTCAGTTCACTGCAATCTCTTCCTCCTGGGTTCAAGCAATCCTCCTGTCTTAGCCTGCTGAGTAGCTGGGATTACAGGCACCTGCCACCACTCTCGGCTAAATTTTATATTTTTAGTAGAGACAGGGTTTCACCGTGTTGGCCAGCCTGGTCTTGAACTCCTGACCTCAAGTGATCTGTCCGCCTTGGCCTCCCAGAGTGCTGGGATCACAGGCATGAACCACTGCGCCTGGCCGGGAAGTAAAATTCTTAGGACAAACTCCTCTGAGCCGGGAAGTGCAAGCTTTCCTCACGTCAGTCATCTGTGTCCACCCTCTTGCTCTCCAACTCCTGGTCCTCCAAGGTGTCACCGCCACCTCCCTCTCTCCTCAGCTCCCCCTGCTCCAACCCCCTGCTCTGGGATACCCACCAAATCCATTCATGGAAAAGACCTTAACTGAGCCCTGTCTGGGTGCCAGGCCCTGCCCCAGGCCCTGGGAATGTGCGTGCAACTCCTGCCCCACAGAGCTCAGACCTCGGCCTGGGAGGAAGGCATGCCTATGGCTGCCGTCAGTTCGTGAGAGCTGTCAGGTGATGGGCAGGGAGAAAGGGATCAGGAGGGCTGCATCGGGCGAGGGTCAGATTTGAAATCGGTGGCCTTGAGCAGGTGACGTTTGAGCTGAAACTGAAAAGAGGGGAGGGTGGTGGCCTGGGGGAGCAACAGAGTGTGACCTGGAAGGGCCGTTGGTTGTCCTCTGTCCTCTGGCCTAAGCCCTGAGGCTCAGAGGGGAGGAGCTGTGCTTCAGTCACACAGCAGATTCGCCGTGCTGAGGTGGCTGCTGCAGTTCCCACGGAGGCGGGGGTCGGGGGAGGTCCAGAGGCTCTGGGTGTGAGAGGTGACGATGTTCTGACCCTTCTTAGGCAAACATCCTCCTCCTGTGGCTCTGGCAGAGATCAGCCCCTCCCCCCTCCAGCCCCGCTCTCTCTGCGGGGTTCCTCCTGGCTACCTGCCGTGCCCTGGCTACTGCCCGGTGTCAGGCACACTTGCTGGAGCTTTCTGGTGCCTGCAGAGCCCTGGGGTTGTCATCACTGCTTTCTGCATTGATCTGTCTGCACCCCTTTGCGCCCTCCAAACCTGGCTGTGCTCAGTGAAATGGAGGGAAATGGAAATGAAATGGAAGAAAAGTTAAATGCTTGGAGAAGTGGATGAGACAGGGTCCCCACCCCAAGGTGCTGGTAGGCCAGACACAGGCCAAGGATGGGGGTGTCACTGAAACTGTCCTTTTACACTCCCAAGAGTGTCTCCGCATCAGGTGGAGGGGAAGGCAGGCTTTTTGAGTAAGAGTTCCCCAAGTGGACGTGGGCTTAGGGAGGGCCAGATGAGGAGGACAGCATGACGAAGGCGGGGAGGCTGGGGGATCTGTGGGCTGACAGAGAAGGGCAGGAGGGGCTGCAGAGGTGGGCAGAGGCCAGCTTCCAGCCAAGGGCCCCTCCTCTCCTCCAGGTACTTTGAGAACATCCCCAAGGGTCTCGATCGGGAAGGCTGGACTCGAGGTGGCATCCGGCCCCAGACGTCAGGAGGCTATGCCCTAAGCCAGCCGGTCAGCCGAATGGAAGCCACCCCCAAGCCCACGGAGAGCCTGCGGCACCTGCACCCCCACGTGGGAAGGTGGCACTCCCCCAAGCTCTGTTCTTTCTCCCTCCCCCTCATCCAGGCCCTGCGCCAGGCCTTTCGCCTGCTCTCCTCTCTTGCTCTGTCTGTCCGTCAGTCTGTCCTCCGAGACGCCCATCTCCTCTGGCTGTCTCTGGCCTCCCGTTTCCTGCCAGCACCCGCTCCTCCCCTCCTCTTCCTTCAGGGACCCCTCCCCTCCCCGTGGCTGCTCCTCCCGCTCCTGCCCCTGTGCTCCAGGCCCGGTGGGCTGCCAGGGGAGAGGGAGATGGATCCAGAGATGAACGGACTGTGGTCCCGCCTCACCCGGCTCCTTTCTGCTCAATTCAATTCCTCAGAAATTACATTTATACCAACAATGGCCTGGAGTTGGCAGGCAAAGAACGTTTGTGGCTTGGCTGCCCTGGCTGAACCCTGACTGCTCTCTCAGGGAGGGTCAGGCAGAAGACAAGAAGGCAAGGTCCAGGCCCTGCCTGCCAACGCCCTCAACGCTCTCCTCCTGCCTCCTGCAGAACCCTGGCCTCAGTCGACCCCTTCTACAGAGACACACCTCCCAGCAGCCGCTTCGTGGCACCCAGCTGAGCCCTGGGCCATTGGTAAGGGGCTGGGGACCCCCTCCCTCAGCTCCTCCCAGTGTGGGGGTGACCACTGGGGGTCAGCCCTGCCTCCCAAGCCCTGGGTTAAGCAAGTCCTGCCTGGGGACCCCCCTCTGAGTAGGGGGTGGGAGATCGGGGGCCTCTCGGACCCTCTTCTATCCCAGGCAAGCACACAGAACCACCCCAGAGTGCCCCCTAGGCCTCACCTCTGCTTCTCCTCCACAGGTTTGTCAGCCCTAGGGGACAGAAGCCAGCCAGGCTACTGTCTGTACCCCCACTCCATCCCCCACAGGGACCTCCCCCAGCTACCCTCCTAATGAAATAAAGAGCATTGAAGCAGAGACGTGTGACATCGCTGTCAGGGTGGCTGGGACAAGGAGGGCTGAGCTGGGCAGGGGTGCAGGGGTGGAGGAGCGAGGGCCAGATTTGGAGTCGGAAGGGCTCAGCTGGCATCTCTGAGGAAACATGACACAATGAACCCGGCATTTGATCCTCAGTTTTCCTTAGTCTCCATTGAGACTCAGTTTCCTGTCCTGTAAAGGGGTCCTCTATGGCCCGCGCTGTTTGGGAAAGTACTTGGTCACATGTGTGTGGAAGAACCCCAGGGAGGGGCAGGTGGGCCAGAGAAGGGAAGGGAAGCAGAGGCAGGGTGAGGGGACAGAGGAGAGTCTCGGACACATGGACACCTGGACTCCGACCCAGAGCTGGAAGGGGCTGATCACAAAGGCTGGTTCCACTTTCCCTCCCAGCCAGGGTGACCCAAGCAGGTTGGGCTGTTTGTGAGAATAATAGGCAGCCCTCAGGCAGATGCCCCAGGTGCCTGCAAGACAGCATCCGGGCCAGCTCTCAGCACCTCTTGTCACCTCAACCAGGCGTATTTATGCAGTGCACAACACTACAACTGTATGCTGTGGCCTGCTTGCACCAGCTCCTTATAAATGAGGAGTGTGGACCCAGAGAGGGTGCATGAGCTGCTCAGGGTCACACAGGGCAGAAAGGCAGCAGCAGCGCTGGGTTGGAGACATCCCTTGTGCCTTGCAGCCTTGTCTGGGCACGCAGGCACTCCTCTGACACCCTGCCTCCGCCTGTGTTCCTTAGTGGGGGTCTGTGGACTGTGCTGCTGGCCCGAGAGCCTGGTGTGCCCAGCACAGTCTTGAACGGCAGGCCCGGGGGCTGTCCACAGCTTGGCTGGGGCTCCATGTGGGCTGTGGGTGGCTCCAGCTGGTCCCAGCATGGGAGGAGGGGAGCAGAGGACACAGAGTCTCGGCGACAGACTCAGGACACAGCGACAGCCCAGACTGTGGGTGGCGACCTGCTAGTCCATGCCTCAGCAGTAGGGTGAGTCACCAAAGGGACTGGGCTGGGCCCTAGCCATGGCCAGAGTAAGGTGGAGAGTGAGCGAATGTGGGATCAGCCAGCCTCTCTGTGCCCAAAGACACACACACACACACACTCACACACACACAGGTACGCACTCAACACAAAAGCACACTCAAGGCAGGGTGTGGTGGCTCACACCTGTGATTTCAGCACTTTGGGAAGCCGAGGCGGGCAGATCACTTGAGATCAGGAGTTCGAGACCATCCTGGCCAACACGGTGAAACCTGTCTCTACTAAAAATACAAAAAATTAGCTGGGCATGGTGGCAGGTGCCTGTATTCCCAGCTACTCTGGAGGCTGAGACAGGTGAATCGCTTGAACCCAGGGGGAAGAGGTTTCGGTGAGCTGAGATCATACCATAGCACTCCAGCCTGTGTGACAGAGCAAGATTTCATTTAAAAACAAACAAACAACAAAAAAAAAAGCACACGAAAATACAAACATACATGTGTGTGCAGACTCCCGAAGGCACGCACACACAAACACATCTAGGCACATAAATGCCAACAGAAGTACACAGACAAACTAACACAACCACACATGGAAACACAAAACAAATATGCACAAACACACAGCTTCACATAAAGGCCCAAGACTCCTCCACATGCAGACACACACACTGCCAGCCTATACCACTGCTCTAGTTTGAGTATTTGTCGTGTCCTCCCCCCGCCCCCGCTCATGTTGCATTGGAATCCCCGTGCTAGAGGTGGGGCCAGCTGGGAGGTGACTGGATCATGGGAGTGGATCCCTCATGGTTTGGTGCCATCTTCACTACAGTGAGTGAGCTCTTGTGAGATCTGGTTGTTAAAAAGTGTGTGTCACCCCCCATCCCTTGCTCCTGCTCCTGCATGTGAAATGCCTGTTCTTGGCCAGGCACAGTGGCTCGCGCCTGTAATCCCAGCACTTTGGGAGGCCGAGGCCGGTGGGTAAGTTGAGATCAAGAGTTCAAGACCAGCCTGGCTAACATGGTGAAACCCCGTCTCTACTCAAAATGCAGATTAGCCGAGCTTGGTGGCAGATGCCTGTAGTCAGCTACTGGGGAGGCTGAGGCACGAGAATCACTTGAACCTGGTAGACAGAGGTTGCAGTGAGCAGAGATTGCACCACTGCACTCCAGCCTGGGTGACAGAGTAAGATTCCATTTCAAAAGAAAAAGAAATGCCTGCTCCCCCTACAGGGTAGAAGCTTCCTGAGGCCTCCCCATGTAGTATCCCAGCGAGTTAGAAGGAAGGCGTCACACACTGAGTTTCAAATTAAGAGTCCTTTTAAGGCCGGGCGCGGTGGCTCAAGCCTGTAATCCCAGCACTTTGGGAGGCCGAGGTGGGTGGATCACGAGGTCAAGAGATCGAGACCATCCTGGTCAACATGGTGAAACCCCGTCTCTATTAAAAATACAAAAAATTAGCTGGGCATGGTGGTGCGTGCCTGTAATCCCAGCTACTCAGGAAGCTGAGGCAGGAGAATTGCCTGAACCCAGGAGGCGGAGGTTGCGGTGAGCCGAGATCGCGCCATTGCACTCCAGCCTGGGTAACATGCGTGAAACTCCGTCTCAAAAAAAAAAAAAAAAAAAAAAGAGTCCTTTTAATTAGCCAGCGACCGAGAGACAGCTAACGCTCAGAGTTCTCTCAGCCCAGAGGAAAGGGCTTGACTTCCCTTTTTACCTTGATTTAGGTAAGAGAGGGGGAGCCTAGCTGAAGCAGAATTTTACAGAAGCCGAACAGGCAAGTTAGCTAGTAACCAGGGGTGAGGAGGTTCCCAGGACTGTTGGCTGCTACGGGTATTTCCAAACAATCCCCAAGGGGGGTTCAGAGAGAGTTATACACAAGGCAGGTGTGCCTGCCAAGCAGGACGCAGTTACATTGGTTATATGGTGGGATAAGCACAGCGTCAGCGTGACATAAGCACAGCGTCAGTGTGGCCCAGTTATGCACCCAGAGAGGCTGTGATAGGGAGGGGGAAGCTAGATTGGAGTTTACAGCTAAGATGGAGTCAGTGATGCTAGCCCAGGGTAGGTTATTACACCCAGAAGCAGATGCTGGTGCTATACTTCCTATACAACCTGCAGATCTGTGAGCTGATTAAACCTTTTTTCTTAGAAATTACCAAGTCCTGGGTACTTTGAGAATATCCCCAAGCGTCTAGACCAGGAAGGCTGGACTCGAGGTGGCATCCAGCCCCAGATGCCCAGAGGCTATGCCCTCAGCCAGCTGGTCTCAGGGTTGCTGTTTCTTTGTTTTTGAGATAGAGTCTCCCTCTGTCGCCCAGGCTGGAGTGCAGTGGCGCGACCATGGTTCTCTGCAGCTTCAACCCCCTGGGCTCAAGTGACCCTCTCATCTCAGCCTCCTGAGTATCTGCGTCTACAAGTGCACACCATCAGGCCCAACTAATTTTTCGCATTTGTTGTAAAGATGGGGTCTTGCTATGTTGCCAGGGCTGGTCTCAGACTCCTGGGCTCAAGCGATCCTCCCACTTTGGCCTCCCAAGGTGCTGAGATTGAAGACATGAGCCACCATGCTGGACACAGAGACACAAAAACAGATGTATAGAGACTTACAGAACAGACACACACACACAAAACACACACAACACACACGCACAACGCACACATACACACAACACACACACCACACACACACACATACACACACCACACACACACACACACACACACACACACACACTACACCTCATCTCTATTTCACATCTTCATTTCTTCTCCTCCGAGTATCCTTTTACAGCTCATGTTTCCTGCCCTGGGGGGTGGGGGGACATGGTGCCGGGGACACCGGAGCCAGATCACACCCCTTTCCACTGTCTCCCACTTCCCTTGTCCTGCACCAGGCAGCAGCTTGACCAGGGCAGGGGGAGAAAGCATGAGCCACTGCAGCGGAGAGGGCAGGCTGGTCAGATTCTGGGGGGTCTTGAAGGCCATGCTAAGGAGCCCCCCCAATTATGAGGCCCAACAAAGGGACAGACCATGTATACATTCTTCACACTGAAAGTCCAAAGCCCAGGACAGTGCCTGGCACATATGGAGGTGCTCAGTAAATAGCAGATGAATGAATGAATGAATGAATGAATGGCTATGGCAGATGTGGGCTTCTGGGCATCACCCATCTTAACACCAGGATGTCAGTGGCCCAGCCTCCCCGGGTCCATGTGGTCAGCTCCTGCTTTCCACCCCCACCTGTCCAGCTCCCATGGCCACGGCCCTTAGGGACCACTGCTTTACCCCAGGGTGCACCGCTCCTCTCTGTGTGAGCCCCTTGGTCTCCCCTTACATGGAGCCCAGCCTCTGACCAGCCTCATGAAGCTTCCCAGCAGTGCCCTAAGGGCCTCTACATTCCAGCCTTGGCCCCTGGTAGGCACCAAGACCAGGGTAGAGTCAGTGCTGGGAAATTCCCTGTGTCCCCAGGACAGGAGGAGGGGACACTTTCTACCTGGGTGGCTCCTTGGGATGCCATCCTTGTTGAAGGGACATCCTGCTGTGTGGCTTCCTTCTCCTGCTCTGTGCTGTCAGGGGAGAGTGGGAGAGTTCCAGTCTCTCAGCATGAGAGTTTGGAAGACATGTGAGGCAGTTAGCCCCTAAGGGATGGCCTGGAGGAGCAGGCCCGGGCCGCTGACCACGTGGCTTCATTTTCAGTGGCCTCATCCTCTTTGTTCCCAGACAGCATCAGCCAGAGCTCTTTCCCCTCCAGGCCCAGGCAGTCAGCAGAGCGTACCTGTCACAGGCCTGAGCCCTGGAATCCAACTGCCTGGGTTCAAATGCCAGCTCTCCACAAGCCAAGGCAGCCCCCTGCCATCAGCCGGTCACCTAAGCCTTCTGTGACCTCCAGTTGTCACCTACCCATTCTGAGCTTCAGCTAATAGCAGCAGCTGCCTTCTGGATGAAATCCAACATGCACAGAGTACACACAAATAGAAGCTGCCCGATGCTAGGGCAGAGAAAACAGAGGCCGAGACGGAGGTAGAGACTTGGACAAGGCCACACTGCAGCTTGTCACAGGGTCTGGTCTCTGTCTCCTGCTTGGCCCTGGGTGGGCCCTCTCAAGACCTTTCCCTGAGGCTGAGCTAGGTGGCTTATGCCTGTAATCACAGCACTTTGGGAGGCTGAGGCTGGAGGATCACTTGAGCTCAGGAGTTCGAGACCAGCCTGGGAAACAAAGTGAGACGGTCTTTACAAAAAATTAAAGAATTAGCTGGGGGTGCGGTAGCTCACAGCTGTAATCCCAGTGAGCCAAGATCGCGACATTGCACCCCAGCCTGGCAACACAGTGAGACTCCATCTCAAAAAAAAAAAAAAGGCCGGGCGCGGTGGCTCAAGCCTGTAATCCCAGCACTTTGGGAGGCCGAGGCGGGTGGATCACGAGGTCAAGAGATCGAGACCATCCTGGTCAACATGGTGAAACCCCATCTCTACTAAAAATACAAAAAATTAGCTGGGCATGGTGGCGTGTGCCTGTAATCCCAGCGACTCAGGAGGCTGGGGCAGGAGAATTGCCTGAACCCGGGAGGCGGAGTTTGCGGTGAGCCGAGATCGCGCCATTGCATTCCAGCCTGGGTAACAAGAGCGAAACTCCGTCTCAAAAAAAAAAAAAAAAAAAAAGAAGCCATAACATTTTGGCTGGGTGTGGTGGCTCATACCTGTAATCCCAGCACTTTGGGAGGCCAAGGCAGGTAGATCACAAGGTCTGGAGTTTGAGACCAGCCTGACCAATATGGTGAAACCCTGTCTCCACTAAAAATACAAAAGTTAGCCAGGCTTGATGGTGGGTGCCTGTAGTCCCAGCTACTTGGGAGGCTGAGGCAGGAGAATTGCTTGAACCTGGGAGGTGGAGGTTGCAGTAAGCGGAGATTGTGCCATTGCACTCCAGCCTGGGTGACACACACACACACACACACACACACACACACACACACACACACAAAGAATTAGCTGGGTGTGGTGACCTGTGCCTGTGGTCCCAGCTACTCGGGAGGCTGAAGTGTGGGGATAGCTTGAGCCCAGGAGGTTGAGGCTGTAGTGAGCTATGTTCACGCCACTGCACTCCACCCTGGGTGACACAGTGAGACACTGTCTCAAACAGAACAAAACCAATCCCTTCCCTGAGAGCAGGCCTACTCCCTATGACAGGCAGATGATCACCCACATAGCCTGACCTGGAAGGTCGCGGCTGCCCTCGAGGGGGCTATCCCCACTTAACACCCTGTTCCTGAGGCCAACTTCTGCCAGGCCCTCCTGGCAGCTGCCTGCTTCTCCCCCGACCTGGTAACCAGGCTTTGGGTTTTCACAGAGCCACTCCTTCTGGTGGGTGACTATTGCAGCTGCTGCCGGAAGCTTCCTGCCCCCTCCCCAGTGGATATTTTTTTAAAGTTGCTGAGGTGTCAGGGATGATGATTAACCTTCATTAAGCCCCCACAGCCTGCGGGTGCTGAGAATATTCGTGGGCCCTCACCTTTCCATCGAGAACACAGAGGGGCCTCCCTCTGGGGGAGGTTTGGGGACGCAGGTGGGTGGGGTGCTGACGGCATTGGTGTGGGAGTGTGGAGCCCAGAGGGCTGGCGGGACAGCAGGTGGGGCGGGTGCTGTGCGCCATGAGATCAGGCCCGGCTTGTGACGCATGTGGACATGTGTGAGGCTGCTGTTTGTCCGTCATGGCCTGGTGGCGGCTGATGTTGACAGGTGCCATCTGGTCTGGGTCACGTGGTGGCAGGCAGCATCACTGACTCGTGGGCTTGACAGCTGTCCAGCTGGGAACACAGGGCTCCTGGGGGTGGGGCGGTTAGAGGCATCTGTCTTTGGGAACTGGAGGGCTGGGGGTGGCGGGAGGCCCTGCGTAGGGAGGCTGAGGATGGGGGGTATGGTACACCAAGACAGATGGTGTGTGAGGCTCTGAATCGGTTCCCCAGTCTCCTCTCTGACCATCTGGAGGGCCCCCCATTCCCGAGGAACTGTTCCCGGAACAAGCAAGTATGCAAGGGCAGAGGATGAATTTCAGACTCAGGAGCCCCCACTGAGGGCCCCTGTTGAAGGGTCAGAGGGGGCCGGCAGGGCCTGAGGGACATCCTACCACGCCTTGCTTCCTCCCCATGCTGCTGCAGACAGGCTCTGCCCAGGACCTTTGTGATGGGCAGGTCACCCTGACCGGAGGTGAGGCGACCTGCCCGGAGCCACGCGGTGCCGGCTCCGTGAGCAACTGCACTGTCTTCTGAACCCCAGGCCCTCCCCACCCCATCACTTCCCTGGGGGTCTCAGATGGGCAGGAATGGGGTCTGGAAACTTCTTGTGAGAGCCAGGCAGTGACAAGTATGAGCTTTGTTTTCTTTTGCTAAAGATATGAGTGTACTTGTGTGAGAATGTGAGCGTTACATATGCGTTTGTGTGTTAGTGTGTGTGAATATGTGAATATGAGTGTGAGTGAGCATACATGTGTGAGAGCATTAGTGTAAGTGCATGAGTGTGTTTGGGACTGTGAATATATGTGTCTGAAAGTATGTGAGTGTGTGTGTGAATGTGTGAGAGTTGTATGTGTAAGAGTGTACATGTAAGTGATGTGTGTGTGATGATTGTATGTGTGTGCATGTGTAGGTGTGTGTGAGTGTGTGGGTGTGTGTTAGAGTGTGTGGGCATATGAGTGTGTGAGTGTATGTGTGTACATGTCTATGTGTGTAAGTGTATATGTGCGGGTGTGTGTTGGAGTGTGTGGGTATATGAATGTATGAATGCAAGATT